TGAGACAGATAGGATTTGTGTGGAGTGTGTGTGTGTGTGTGTGTGTTCATGTTGCCATTGAATGTGTGATGAATATCCTGGGAGTCACTTTTTGGCATATATCCATAGTTCCTTGGAGTAACTTTCTAGAATTGTATTAATAATCTAGAGACAACAACAACATGAACATTAATGAGTGTTTACCATGTGCCAAGCACTGCGCAAAGTACATCCTTCAACAATCATCTTAAGTAGAAATTATTGTTATCCTTATTTCATAGATAGGAAACTGAGGCTCAGAAAGCTTGCTGTCGAGTCAGGATTACAGACATGGTTCATGCTGGTTCCAGGGCTTGTGATCATATTCCACTTGCTCTCCAGCGTGGTTTTTATATTCTTAAGTCTTACCAGTGACTTTTATACTCTTAAGTCTTCTTTGTGCTCCTTTTCCGTGTATTTTTTCCCTTGGTGGTGTCTTCCTCTGACAACACCATATGCTCTGGCTTGGTTTTCATCCACACCATGTGTGAGTATTTTGCCCTTGTGTGCACCACAGCTTCCTCAGAACATCCATGGCCTTCCCACTTTTTCTCCTCAAGACTTGCCATTTCCTTCATTTCCCACTTCTTGTTCACCATCTGTTCAAAAAAGACTGGGCACCTTTCCTGTCTCCTGGTTTCTGTATTTAGCCTGTTCCTGCTGCCTACAGTAAGGGTGGATTCTCTCGTCTGCTTTTCTTGTGCTCTGAAGTACTACATGGAAGCTGAACAGATCTCCCCCTGGTGCTCTTCCTGTCTCACTTTTCTCCTGAACCAAGGACCCCAGGGTTTTAATTAGTCCATGGACCAGGACACTGCTCAGCTTGGCATCTTTATGAGCACAGTGCATGGGAGGGGCAGCAGCCACGACTGTCTGCATGTCAAGCCAAATCCCCCAAAACATCATCATCTGAAGTGTGGGTCAAGTCCCCCTTCGTCTTTAAGACCCATTAATAATGCTGCCTCTTCCAGAACATCTGCTTTCATTTCCATTTCTATACACTGGAAGTCATCTGCTCTTCTCAGAGCCATTATTCAGGTTCCTTATTCATCTCTTATCATTATGTACAAGTCTTCAGTCTTACACTTAAAGTCAGAAGCCAGAATTCATGTCTCATTTATTACTGTGTTTTCCACAAGGCCTAACACAAATGTATTCATTGAGTAAATTAATGAATAAGTGAATAAATAATAAACTAAACTAGAAAAGCTTGTCCTATTATATACAATAGTAAAAAAACAAAATCATTTAACAAAATTGATATATCAAATTCATATATTATAAAATAATTTAAGAACTGAGATATAAAATATTTGAGTAGAAGTATAACAACACATAAGCTATTTGGGTAAAAGAAACACCACTTTTTAAAAAGCAAATTCTAAATAATCATTTCTTCAGATACAGTGAAAACAAAAATCATTCAGCAAACAACAAAACAGAACACTACCAATTAGGCCTAATTTTTTTGGAAGGAAAACAATTTAGTAAGTAATTTGGGGGTTAGGAGTTAACATGGTAATTGCTAAATCTCTTTTCAAGGAAACTGAGATACGAGATTATTCAGTGGAATTAGTAAGCCAAGGGACTTGGGTCCTCAATTAGCTGTCTACACCTTGCATATACTTCTAAGAATGTGTTTACAAAGGAGGATACCATGTTTCATGTAGGAGAGAATGAGAGAATCCACCTTATACGTTTGTGGTGAGGAGTAAATGAGTTAATGCATGAAAAGCTTAGTGTCTGTGATATTGCAATCACTATAGAAAGGTTAGATGCTAGGTTTTTTCTCTTCCAATGCAGTGGCTCTCATCCTCCCTTCTGTAGTGGCAGGCAAAGGAAACATGTGCAGAGTAAATCTGTAAGTCCTCACTTAGCATCATTGATAGGTTCTGTGACTTTAAGTGAAATGACCTACAAAAAGCCAATTGTACTGTAGGTTAATTGATATAAACAAAAGTTAATCTAGTTCTTATGGCATCTCATCAACATTATAACAAAACTAGGGGCCCAGTGCACGAAATTCGTATGGGGAGGTGGGGGGGGGAGGAGGGTCCCTCAGCCTAGCCTGCACCCTCTCCAATCTGGGACCCTTGAGGGATGTTCTAATAGGATCGGGTCTAAACAGGCAGTTGGACATCCCTCTCACAATCCAGGACTGCTAGATCCCAACTGCTTGCCTGCCTGCCTTCCTGATTGTCCCTAACAGCTTCTGCCTGCCAACGTGGTCACCCCCTAACCCAGCGGTCAATAAACTGTGGCTCTCGAGCCACATGTGGTTCTTTGGCCCCTTGAGTGTTCTAACCCCACTTCCTGTGTACCCCCCCAAAAAAGTGCCCTTCCCTGCAAGTCTGGTCGCCCCCAACTTCCCTCCTCTGCCAGCCTGGTCACCCCTAATTGCCTTCCCCTGAAGGCATGATCACCCCCAACTGTCCTCCCTTGCAGGTCTGGTCCCTCCCAACTTCCCTCCCCTGCTGGTCATCTTGTATCCACATGGAGACAGCCACCTTGTGTATTAGAGTGATGGTCAATTTGCTTATTACTCTTTTATTAGATAGGATGACATTGAGTGGAAAGATGTTATTTGAGGACCTGCTATAAAATAAAGATTTTTCTTAGTGTCTTATTTATACCTAAAAATTACACTACTGTTCTCATAAAACCTCAAGGCAATTAGCCAAGCATTTGTTTTTTTATCACAGAGGGCCAGTTTACTGAAAACAAGTGACTGAAGCTGCCAGTGTTTAAAGCATGTTAGTTGGGAAGAGAATGCAGCATGCAAAACTAAGAAAGCAGCATGAAATCAGTTCCACAATTTTAGAAGCCTGATTCTTGGCTCTTTCTTTTATCTGTAATTATATAGTGAAGAACAAATGACAAGTCACCTTTTTGCCTCCAAGTGATCCCATTCCTATTTATAAATTCTGAGTGATAGTTGAAGGGTTTAGAAATGTTTTAGATGAGGCAAACTCTAAAAGACTGACACTGATTTCTAACATCCCGGCCCCTCAACCCCTTTCAACCAGAAGGCTCTTCTTATCTCATAAACTGTGTCTTGGTATGAGCTTTCCTTTGGGAAAAAGGTTTGAATGAATGAAAGTTGACATTTTTCTACAGTACAGATTCCATTTGCACTGAGGTTGGCTTGGGCTTTAGGCCAGCAGGATGCTCTTCATCGCCACCAGGGCCCTAAGCAGCATGAGCAGATGTAGAAACTGTGTTTTCGCACTTCCACACGCTTACACAGTTTGGATAAGGCTCGGGTGGACTGTTCGGTTCCGCAGGATGTTGACTGCATTGGCTGACTTCACATGGGTTGAGCAGAAAGATCCAGTAAGACTCCATCCCCATGTCTGGAACTCAGAGCTTCTCTTGTGGCCTCTCTCTCTCTCCACATTTCCTCTCTTGTCTCAGTATTCTAGCCTGAACTTCCTTACAACATGATAGCTGACTTCTACCAAGTCAGCAGGCCTTTTACACGAGCGCCAAACTGGCCCCATTTGACTTCTGCTGTATTCTCTGGATTAAGGCAAGTCCCAAGGTCAGCCAGCTCAAGGGAGGGAACAAGGTGTACAATGAGAGAACTGCATGGTGGCCATCTTTGAGAGCTAACCACAGCCACCATTAACCAACATGCAGTGTTCTCTCTCCTGCAGTGTCCTGGTGGGACAGGGAAACTCAGCCAAAGCAAAGGGGAAAAAGAACAATACCCTGAAACACTCATCCTTTTCCACTTAAAGCCCAAATGAAGGCCCCTGTCATCCCCCCTTGGCTGAGCTTCTTCTGGTGGCATTTGTCTTTACTTGGTGGGACATGGTTAGTGCTGGTGTTATCCAACAGTGGACTCTTCTCAGTAATTTGTTTTTAAGCAGTTTTTTACTGCTCTGTTTTCTGTGTCAAGCTTTCAAATGCATATTCCTAAGGGCTTATTCTCCAGGCAGCAGTTAGGTACTTTTCAGTGCTGTATATGTGTGTTGCTAAAATGGAATACACCTACAAGTAACCTTTTCAACTGTTAATTTCCATCTATAAGTCAAATTATACGCAGTCACTAAGGGAAAGCAAAGGTCAGAAGATTTCTTCTTCCTTTGTTTTAATGACACAGGATTTTTATGTGAAAGGACAAGCATCTAAAACTGAAAAATCAATTTTCTAGCCTGTTCCAGCTCCAGCAAAATATTTTCTTTGTATTCTAGCTCACTTGGTTTAAAGTAGCCTACCTAATGAGGATAATTCTCTTTCTCTGAAAAAAAAAAAATTCTTTAATCTTCTAAATATCCTGGGGAAATTTTTTACATGTATCATTTTTCTTTTAAAAAAAAAATTAACAGACTTTTCCTTTTCTTATAGTTAGATTGTCTTTTACCATTTAGATAATTACTCAACCCAGAGTATTTTTCCTAGAAACAATCAAATAAATAAAATGCTCTGGTGTCATATCAAGAGAGGAAATGTAAGAGCAGCTATTTATGGGCTGCAGGGACAAAACTTTTCCAAGTGCTTTGGGGAAATCTCACTTTTTAAGAGATTATCATTGTCTGGAAAGTGATGAGATGTGTCTTATATAAATGGAAATCTTCAGTTTCCCAAATGTGTGTGAGAGAAAATGTAATTTTTTTGTACCAGCTGTCTGGGGAGTATGGCTCACTGAAATCCAATTTACTCTCCCGATTTGTAGGACTCAGTAGTTAAAAATATATATATTTTATGTACTTTTCTATATGGATAAACATTTATGCATGGCACAAAGCTAGCATTCAATTAGGAAAAGTCCAGATTTCTTCAGCCTCTACTTTACCCTTTTTCCATCTTATTGGTAGTGGCAGTAGTTCATTTGTTCATGTTTATTTGCTATTTTCTTATGCCTTGTCTAGGATTGAAAAGACATTATACTTCTTTAAAATAGTCCAGATCTTTGGAGAACTTTGAGAATTTTATTTGATTTTTACAAATTTTCCATATCTGTACTTGCTTCATTTTAGGAAGAAGAATTAGAAGCCCAAATTTCCTTCCTTCAAGGACAGTTGAATGACCTGGATGCCATGTGCAAATACTGTGCAAAGGTGATGGACACTCATCTTGGTGAGTGAACTACTTTGGCCCTGGGAATGGTGATAGTCATGGAAACAGAGCCACTACGCCCTTTGTTAAGCTCTTCACATGAATTATCTCATGTAAACCTCACACCAGCCTGTGGCAGATATACTCTTACTGTCCCCATTATACAGATAAGGAAACTGAAGTACAGAGAGATTAATAAAATTTCCCAAGCGTTTATCTCTAGTAAGTGGAGTAGAAATTCAAAATCAAATAGGCTGACTATAGTTTTCAACTTTTCACTGCTACACTGCCCTTTGTAAGTATCCGTCTACCTCAAGCCAAAATAAAATGTGCTTTCAAGATCAAACTGTCATTTTTTTGTGTGTGCTAACCTGGCTGTAATCACTAATGTGATTTTTTTGGACAATGCTTTCCTTATTTTTTTAAAATACATGTTTTAACCAGCTGCCTGAAATACATGTGACCTTTTCTAACTCTGACTGTGCTTAGAGTCTAAGAAATGTCCTAGAGTATACATGAGTCATATGTATGTCACATCAGAAAGTCTTTGGCCACTCCTCTGTCTCCATTTGTAGAGGTCTGTGTTTTGTATGGTCTCATGTATGTATTAACATGAGCAACTCCATGTTGCTTGCAAAAGCTTTTACAATGCATAGTGTTACTATTTATCAGCCCACTTATGGACATTCTTTCTTTCTCCACTCTGCAGTGTTTAGCGTCTGTAGTTTGGGAACAAATTCGGAAAATGAGACATGTACTCTAATGGGAGTGGCCTGTGTGCTTCTCTATGAGTATGGAGAGTGGCAACACCAAGTATTGTAGGAATCAGGATGCATCCCACCTTTGAGGCTCCTTCCCTCCAACCCTGGGGCCATCATTGAGGGTGGACTCTCTACCTCAGACTCCACTGGTCTCTCAGCCTATTAGGTCACGAGTTCATTGCATGTGGCTGGAAGGCTGTCACTTGGGTGTTGTCTGAACCATCCTTGCCTCTGGCACGTACTCTTAGGGATTCAGAGAGCTGCTTCCTTAGGTGGCAGTATCTGATTAGGTGGCAGGATGAGCCCTATTTTAGCCTCTGTCTTATTTCTACTCTCTTGACCACTCCTTCAGAAAAAGAGTTCAAAAGACCGGGTCTCTCCTGGTCACATCTGATTCCACCCCTTCAAAACTCTGTTTATTCATATGTTTCTTTATGACCATTTTTATATAGAACTAAGTTTATACGAATATCATAGCATCACACTTTCAAGTATATCCAAAAGAAATAATGAAGAGATAGTTTGTATATAAATGACTGATATGTATTAAATGACTAATTTTAGCTAATTAATTCATATTAATTCTAAAGTGTGTACATATATGTGTATGCATACATGTGTTTTTTGTTGTTGCTTTGTTTTGGTTTTTTGCTTCTCTGGCTACATGGGTGACCTTTTCACTACCTGATTTTGCTTTTGACCAAAGTAGGAGAAGAGAGAAGTAACTGAGAGAAAGATTTACTAAAACTCTAGAGAAAATCCTGCTAGGAAATTTCCAAGCTGTTTGGTCCACATAGCAGCTATTAGAGCAGCTTGACTTAAGCCTCAGAATTTTCCATGGGAGGGGGAAACACTTTAATTATAAAAGAAAGCCCATACCAGCTGTGAGTTTTCAACTAACCACAAAACTAGATTTGTTTTTGTGTTTTACTTTCAGCCAGAATCCTGCACACAGCCATGATGTCTGTTCACCATATAAATGTCTTGGCCATGCTGTTAAAGGGGGTTTCAGGGATGCCACAGAGAATTCCTGGCCCCAGGACCCACAGATAAATTTCCTTTTTATCTCCATGTTATAACATTCATTTATTAGAGGGTTTTTCTGTGTTGTAGGCAATTTTGATTCTAAGCAGAAATTTTAGGAAAACATCATTAATTAAGGCAAAGCTCTTGATTTACTTGATTTACTATAGTTACTTTAAAAATGGCTTTAACAACCTTGTGTTTTTTTCCATATAATGTTTTCTATTTTTCCTGATTGTCAAAATATGCTAAAATTGGAACAACTGAAATATCCATTAGAAAGTGACTGAGTATAGTAATTTAGATATGCCATCTCTATAAAAATTAAAAATTCTAATAAATTGTATTTATTAACATAAGGAAATGTTCCTATTATTAAGTGAAAAGGGCAGGTGGCAGACTAGTGTGTATTTGATATGAAAATAACTGGTAGCAATGGTTGCCTAGGTGAGGGAAGATTATAGAGGAATTTTCTAAGAGACAATCTTCTGTGCTTGGAAAATGCAAGACAGTCACTGAAAATCTATAGACAGTGTAAGTGCATGTAACTAACACCTAGCAGGGGAGGTCAGTCTTTGTACTGCGGCAAGAGGCAGCTGTCAGAGCGGCTGAGTGTATCTGAGAAGCAGAGACGGCCTCCTGGCATCAGACGGTCACCGGTTATACAGGCTCTGTCCCTTCTCAGCTCGGCCAGGTTGCGATTTGTGCTCTTATATGAAATGGAGATAAAAGTCTATATCTTGCCAGTTTGCTGCCAAGATAATATATTTTTAAAGTTCAGACAAAGCATGGCCCAGAGTGGGTATCAACACAAATCCTCTCCTTGTTCCCCTTAACTCCTAACTGCCCCTTCTCAGGGAAGACCCTGAGAGACCCATCCAGCCCGTGACCAGAGAGCTGAGTGACAGTCTAGTTTATGGAAGAGCTGGGACCAGTGGCACATTGCCCAGCACCTAACTGACTGAACACTGCTTTTCAGGTGGTGGGATTGTGGATGTGCTGATTCTGAGATTGTGTGTGTGAGCTCTGTGATGAGAATGCTTTCTCAGAGCTGAATGATGGATGTGCACGCATTGACGTGGTCCAGCCTTGCGGGGCCACAGTGCAAGCTGTGAGCACTGCCTCAGAAACTTCTAACGATAATGGTCTGCACTGCATTCCTTCCATTTCAAGGGAGTTCTGTATCACCCTATGTTTTCATCGGACATGCAGTAATATCTTAAAATGTCAGGTATGGCTCAAGGCTGTTATTTAGCTGATAGAACAAATATAGAGAGAAGCCTCTCCATTATAAGTTATATAAAAAAAAAAAAGCATTTGTTCAGATGGTCCTTTAATTACAGAGGCAATCAAATTGACAGGTTGGCAGTATTTCTTTATGAATCTGCAACCCAAAACTGAAAGAGTATTTGTCTTATCAAAATTCTAATTCTATTACCGCCACAGAATTGAACTATTTGAATTCAAAGATTTAGGGACAGAAATTAAAAATAAGTGCTTTATTAAATCTAGAGTTTTCGTGACAACCTCAGAAGACTTGCTTTATGTGTTCATTTTTCTGTTGCTATAGTTACTCCCGTTCTTGTCTTCCTGACAGTTGAGTTGAAAGCCATTGACAGCGTGGTATAACCCCCATGGCTGAGCTCAGGCTATTTTTAGGCTTGCCATACTTCACATGTAATTGCACGTGGGCAAGCAGCCTGCACTTCTCTGATCTGTGAGCAGCTGGGCTGAGCAGCCAGCTGTTTATAGGGAGTCTGAGCCGCTCACCCTGCTGGCCTCTCATGCCCACACCTGCCTGCTCCCAGATGTTTGGTGGAGGTGTTTCCATCGTTTGGTATTTAGACATTTGGGTTCTGGCAGCTTGGCCCTTTCATTGGTTATTCCTATAAACAATGGGAGGGGTAAATGCAGAGAATTCAGAGAAATTAGGTTTCCTAGGCTCTTGTTGAAGGCCCTGGAATAGGACCTTAGACTAGTAAAGTTCTAGTGACCCTAAAAAGCCATCTCAGATACTCTTCATTCCCCAGACGAGGAAACCGAGGCAGGGAAGGATGAGTGACATGCAGCTAGCTGGCACCAGGGGTCCAGACCCAAATCCAGTCCCTGGCTTCTTAATCACTGATGCTTCTGCCGAGGCACACTTGAATCAGTTGCTGGATTTCAGACCTCCCACTATTTTCTTGCACATGTCCTTACTGATTTTACACTTGTCATAATATTTATGCAAGAATTAGCTGTAAGAGGAGGCCAGTTTTGAAAATTAGTTTATGTGCCTCTGCAAGAACTTTATAAATCTGATTTTCTAATGTTTATAAAACCACTTTCAATGGGTGTCTTTGAAAATGTTCAATAGGGCAATTAACTAATGACTTTTGAAGAACAGAGAGAAGATGTGATCACCAGACAGCTCTCTCCCTGTCAGCCACGCTGTGATAAAAGCTTTCCACAACCATTTTAAGAACTTGAAATCCTGTGTTTAATTGTGTGGTACTGCATTTCCGCCAAAGAAGGAAATAGACACTTTGCAGATTCTGACTCATTGGGTCTGATGTGGGGCCCGAAGTTCTGCCTTTCTAACAGCCCCAGGTGACCTGATGTCACCAGCCCCTGACAGAGCAGAAGCGGCTAGGAGCAAGAGGGCTTAGAATTATTTGGGCTCAATTTAATGGTGTGTTCCTAACCCCACACTTCCAGCAGGCGTGCAGCTAACATCTGTGGGCAGAGGGCTCACAACCTCTGACAATGGTTGTAGCCTTCAGCCATCGGAAATTCAGTTCTTTTTCCAGCCTTTCTGAAATTGTTCTATTCTAGGTGAAGTCCCCTCCCCCCACTCCAGTTTTATCATCAGAAGACTTGGAACTATTGGTCAGCATCTTCCATGTGCCCACCCCGTACCTGTTTAAAAAAAAAACTTAGCAAACCAAGCACGGTCGGCTCCCTTTCCATTGTCCTTGAACATTTTCAAAGACACCCATTGAAAGTGGTTTTATAAACATTAGAAAATCAGATTTATAAAGTTCTTGCAGAAGACATCACAACTCTCACCACATGACCTCAGTGCAGACTGCCCACCTTTCATCATTGCATTTTCATTTTCTGGCTCTCATTTCCTCACAGGCTTTTCCCCAGGAAGAACCCAGGTTTTCCAACTTTCTAAACTGTCTGACCACATGGCCTGTTTTTACTGCTCTAAACTAGGCCACCTCCCCATCTCTTCCAGTCCCTGTTCTCTCC